TAAAGTCACTTATCTTTCATTATTGCCCACTTTATTTCAACTTTAACATTTTTCAAGGTTCTGTTTCTTTAAAAACAAAACAGAAGCCCAACCCACTCCTTTTCTAAAATCACGAAACCACTGTGAATATAACCATGTGATTCGAGATGAAACCCTGTGGCTGCAGCGGCAGACAGCAAAGATGCAGAGGTGGCAAAGGGTCCTGTCTGGAGGGTGTGCTCCTCCCAGACACAGAGATTGCTCTGGTCTCTGAGCCTGGCAGAGGGGATAGAGAGCAGCCCCAAGGGCGTGTTAAACACCATTCCAGACTGGCATGGTCGCTGCCAGAACTGACAGGAAGCAGCCTCTCAGTGGTAAATAAAGGACTCGCCTAGTTGTCGGTGGGGGAGTAGRAAGGTGTTGGAGTATCAGCTGCATTGTTTCATTCAGCAGAATAATTAGCAAGGAAAGAAAGTGAGCAGCAGTACAAGATGTTACTGTTGAATTGTAACTTAAACAAGAATCTCTCCCTTCCTCCCCCAGTCTCACTCCTGGCCTCCTGCCCTCGCTGGCTGGTGAGCAAATGCCCATTGCTGCCTTTCTGCCACGGAACCAGATCAAATCAGGCAGCTCCCTTCCTTCTGCCAGTAAGGGCTCTTCMCAGGAGAAACTGGTAATAACCCTTGTGACAGGCAGAAGTGTCAATGTGAGCAAGCCATGAAACAGGTGTTGCAATGCAGGGTATGGGGTGTGCATGATGGTGTGSGGCAGACATGCTGCAGGGTCCCTGCTGTGGCACTGAGAAAAGCTGGTCCTTTGGTGCCCAATGAGTGCAGTGAGACTTTTGGTGGAAATGTGGTGCTTCTGGAGTGCATTTTTATACAGCAGCATACAGCAAGGGTTTAACAAGGGACTGTGGGCTGTGCTATCCACCAGGGGCRAGAGACCTACAGACTTGCTCTTGCAATTTGAGGCTGATAGAAATCAGGCTTGAAATATCTGTGCCAAATTTTTACTGAATCAAAGCAGGAAGCCTGGCTGGAGAGCCAAAAGCCAGAAAGCTACAGTTAGAGGGTGTTCACCTTGACAGAAAAATGTCAGCAGGCAGAAAAAGAATTTTCTGTTGTGAAGTTAGTAAAGCTTGCTGGCAGATCTCTGCCAGGGCTTCTGAGGAGCAGGRTTGCAGATGCTGCAGCCTTTAGCATGGTGAGGAATGAGGTGTGCATGGTGTCTGACTGTTCCTGGCTGGTGCGTGCCATGCCCATACAGGGCAGCTCATCCCCTCAGCATGACCCGGTGATGTCTCTGAGCCTTCATTCAGAAACTGAGAGATTTCTTCTACTTCAAGCTAACGATAATGAGCCACCCCAATTTTCACTTCCCCAGAAATGCCCTCTTTTTCTATCTTCGACAAAAATGTTTTTGAAGTATGTCAAAGATTTTTGGTAGCAGCTTTCACACTTTCCCCCCACATCTGACATTAAGCTGAACTCTCATTTTTCAGTCAGCCACCCTGGCTGGCAGAAGGGTTCATTTAAAATGTGACAACAAATGCAAATGGAAAGTCCCGAGCAAGAAATCTGGTGTGAGATGTTACCAACTCTCTGTGAGCAACAACATGAAAGTCAGAGAGAGGTGTGGACATGTACCTGTACTCTGCGTGTGTGTCCTGCCTGTGCAGCCACCTCCAGAGCTGCAGCTGCTCTACTCCCAATCCCATCTGGTTTAGTAACGTGTCCATTTGGTGTTTCTGGCAGCTTCAACACTGGCTGCATCCAGCTTTGTCATCAATTCATAGAACCATAGGATTAACAGAACGTAGGAGATGCCAGTGCAAGCTGCTTGTGCTGCGTCTTGCAGCTGCTGGAGGGCAATGTGGCCTGAGGAGGTCACGATGAAGTCAGGCAGGTTGGGAGACACTTGYTTGGCCAGTCTGAAAGGTGGAGATTCCAGTCCTTCTCACACCCTTGTCCTCATCACCTGGCAAGCATAGTGTTGGTGCTGTCCAGACTTGGCTCCAGGGAAATCTGGGAAATCTGAAAGACAGAGTGTATCCTATGCTATGAAGGTTAAGTTGCACATATTTGAAAGCTGGCAGATGTAGTGACAGGTTTTAGCAGCAAGATAAAAGCAAGCCAGGCAAAGTCTGCACCACCTGGACAGTTATGGCCTGCATGTGTGTGGGGTGAGGGCTGTCTGCCTTCCAGGCAGTGCTGGAAGAATCAGCCTCTTGTTGGCAAGTGCTTGGAACCCTCTTATCTCCTGGAGGTTGCTGAGCCCACCAGAAATATCTGCAGATTGCTGCTGTCTCCTCATTGCTTAATTCTTCCCTTGCCTCTTCTCTGCATGGTGGGAGAGCTTGGCCAGSAGGGTCATGAATTTAGAGGGCATTCTTTCTACTAAATCAGCCCAAAAGCTYCAGATGGGAAATGCAAAAGACAGTGAATAAACAGAACAGTGTAAACCAGTTTTGTAGCTGGGGAGCCTGAGGGGATTTCTTGGTCCTTGTGCCCCATATTTCAGCCCCAGCACATTTGAATCCCTGACTGCCCTGCATGAATGGTGAAGAACAGAAATTTCAGACCTGTGCTGAAGGGACAGTTTATCACACTTCTTTTCTAAGAGTGAAACACGCTGTGCTGCCTCTTTACCCTCTGTAAGCAGCTGCTCCCAGGCAGCCATCAGGAGTAGCGGTGTTGGTCCTGCTGGGGATGCTGCAGAGGTTGGCTGTGTGTGAGGAGCATCCAGGGGTGCTGCAGAGGTTGGCTGTGTGTGAGGAGCATCCAGGGATGCTGCAGAGGTTGGCTGTGTGTGAGGAGCATCCAGGGGTGCTGCAGAGGTTGGATCTGGTGTGTGAGGAGCATCCAGGGGTGCTGCAGAGGTTGGCTGTGTTTATGGACCACCCCCTGCACTCCCTGCCCAGCACCACCTTACCCTGGCACAACCTGACTTCTCCTGCACAGCCCCCTCAAGGCTCCCCCCTCTCTAAACCCCGGTAACTCCCGAGGACTCACAGATGTGCAGAGGCTCTGCGTGAGGTTTCTGTGGGGGAGGAAGCTTGGCTGCCTCAGGCCAGGCATTCATGGTGTGTATCTCTGGGCGAATGCCTGCCAGAGGAAGAGGCGTTACTAGAAGTTCGGTGGGTTAGCATAGCGTGCTCGGAAATGCTTTGTTTGTAGGCAGCTTTGTATCTTCCCCACCCTTTTTATTAGCGGTTACTAGAGTAGTAGTTTTTTCTTGCCCATCTAAACAGCAGTTTTGTTTGTGCAGAGTTTTCGCCTCTGAAGAGCTCACATCCATGCTGGCGAAACCAAAGGCATAGAAAAAAACACAGTGGCAATCAGGTAATCTCTAAATCACTGTGCTTCACACCACACAAATCCTGTACTGGGAAGGGAATCTTAGAGACTTGCTGAGCTTTACTGGGGAACAGTCCATCAAATCACAATCACAAAGGTGTGTGTGCCRTACAGTGATGCAGGAGAGCCAGCAGCACACAGGGCCGGGGAAGGCAGCGTGTGAGCCCTGCCAGCCCTTGCGCTGAGCCAGCAGCAGATAATGCATCTCTGTATGCACAGCACCCTTGATCTCTTCAAAGAAAATACAAGTGTAGAAAAAGGGAGAGAAAACAACCTTAAAAGTTCTTTGCAGCCAGAGCTCTCCTTCTTTCCCTCCCCATTGTGTAGTAAGCAAAGGAGACATTCTGCTTTCAGATTTTGGTGATTACAGAGCAGATATCCCCATTTCTATCTGAATTTCTGGCAAACATGCTGAGAAGGCTTCATCCCCTGGGGAAGCTGTCAGGATTTTGCTCCTGTCCTGTGCAGCAGAACAGCCACTGCTCAGATGGACAGAGGGCTCTACTCAACCACTGGCTGCAGCAGGGGCCCTCCTTGAGGGGGCTCCTCCTTTTGGCATATGCCTTGAATAGGAGCAGACCCAAAGGCAATGRGTGTGGGAACTGTGAGCATGTTTTTGTGGCAGCAGGGCTGGGCCCAGCACGTACAGGTGGATGAAAGGCCAGTCTGGGGTTAGAAGGTGTGAGGAGTGGAGGGGACTGTGTGGTACATCCCAGCAAGGGTGTGTGGTCTGAGGCTGCTCAGAGGTTTTACCTCCGTAGCTGTTTGTGGTGAGTGCTCACGGGTGGGACACACTGCTCTGCCTTAAGAAATCCCAGCCTCAGCCAGAGCTGCCCCTTACCTGGACAGCAGGGAGCTGTCCCTTCTGGGGACAGACAGCGGAGCAGGTCCTGTACCTCCCCATCTCCCACCTTTTCCATTTAACTCGTTCAGAAACTGAATTCCATGCTAGTGACACAATCTATTTACGTTGATTTCTTTAGAACAGTTCTTTACACTTTAAGATTGCATAGAGTCCTAATACAGAGTCCTTATTCCCACTACCCTACACCAACTGTTTAATTTTAATGCCATTTGACTCAAACATTTTTCATGTAAAGATTTTCCCCAGTACAAGCAATTACAATTTCCTCTTAAATTGTAATGATGACCCTTTTGTAGCTGTTACATTACTGCAMAGTTCTCTAAAGCAAGCTGAATATGCCTCCGTTATGGGATTGTGCATTATTAGCAACTAAAAACCAGTATGTTTGTGACTTACAGAAACACCATCCTTTCTTTTTCTGCAGTGGTTTCACTCTGATTTTTAAAATTTTTTTTAATATTTGGAATACCCTCTGTTTTATTGTCACAGCTGCTCAAACACTGATCCAAGGTGGGGATGAGGGAATAAACCCAGTACTTTACCACTGTCTGTGTTTCTTTTGGGTTTCCTAGGAAAATGAAAGAGAGGGGATTTTTGGCAGGGGAAATTTATCATTTTACGCAAATTTGCATGAAGCAGAAAATAGTTAGTGGCAATCTAGATCATTAGCTCAGGATCTAGACTGCTGTGGCTGTTGATTCAGAGCTGAATCAGAGCTGAATCATGTATCTGAATGTTTCCCATTAGTAGAATGTCCCTCCATCCCACTCTAATAAAAAGCGAATGGGAAACGCTGCTAGTGAGTCCCAGCTGAACACAGCAAACATAAAATGTGTGCTGCATGTGTTTTGCATTAATGTGTTACTTGTGAGAGCGGAATTCCACCTTCTTCACTGGCTTCAGATTTGGTCTTTGCTAGCTTGGAAGATGCTTCCTTAAATTCCTTGTTGACAAAGTAGTAGCAAATGGCATCCAGGCAGCAGTTTGTGTTTGCGACGATGGAGGCGAAGTGGACGAAGTTGTTAATGCTCTGGATTGAAGAGCAGTTGGAGTTCATGGAGTCCATCACGAAGCGGAGGAGGTGCCCGAGGTAAAGAGGTAAAAAGCATATGATGAACACTGCCATGTTTGCAGACACAATGTAAACAGCCTTTCTGGTTAACTTTTCATTGTGACCGTTTTCATTCTTCTTTCTCATGAGTTCTGCAATGGTTCTTATGGAGCAGTAACTCACGATGAGCAGTGGTACAAAAAACCCTGGAATAATGGTACACAGTGTGACCACTGAGGGTGTCACAGAAGATTTTTCAAAGCAGAGGTCATCTTGCCTTCGGTCCTCTAAGCTTTTAATGATGGAAACCTCACAGATRATGACTATCCAAAGCAATCCAGAGGCAAAAGCTGCCTTCAGAGGTGACCTCAGTGCCTTAGCTCTCAAAGGGTACTTGATGGCGAGGTACCTGTCAGCGGCTATGATGGTGATGATACCGATGCTCATGAAGCGGTTTATGAAATAGCAACCTTCCAGAAGCAGGCACCATCCACCCACCTTCAGCTGCTGGAACTGGGAMAGAGTTTTGAACGGCAAGGTGAAGAGCAGCAAGCAGTCAGCCACCGCCAAGTTGACCATGTATACTCTGGTTTCTGTCCATTTGCCGAGTTTGCAACAGAACACGCACAGCGCCAACACATTCAGGACAATGCCCAAAATCAAAACTGGGATGTAAACGGACAGCTGGACAAGTGAAAATCCTTCATAGGCTGTGACATTGCAGTTGCTGTGGTTCATTTTGGGAGTATCAAAAGGTACAGTTCCTGCAAAAGCAAATTAAGCCTTTTACAAGGGAGGTCCTGGACTAAATCAGTGATTAATTCTAATAGAGAGAGTTCAGGGCTTCACCAGCCATKAAAAACTGACAACTGATGGCTGTGCATGGCTGGGTATAGGGTATCTAGTGGGAAGAGGAGAAACAGGCACACTAACCTAATCCGTTGTGAAGGAGTGAAAAATTTAGATTCTTTCTGGGTTCCCCGCAGGGAGCACTGCTCCTGGAAAAAAGGACTCGGGCCCCTGTTGTGGCTCAGACATGGATCAGGCAGCAGATATCCTGCAGTGAGGGGTTATGTGAGCCATTGCAAACATTTGTTAATGGGAAGGGGAAGCCTAATCCCAGCTCTCATCCTTTCCCTTATAGCGAGGCTCAGTGGAAGCCAGCCAGCATCGTCACAACTTAAAATGTTCCAGGGCATATGCAGCAAAAGGACAGCTGTCCTCTCCTTCAGTCCTGAGATATCTCTGCATCACTCTTCATTAGTGATACGAGCACTTATTTGTACATCCCTCATTAGGTTCAGCTGCCATGGAATCCTGTACTCAGAGGTCTGCAGCGAGAATTGGAGTACTAGGGTCTGCTTGCTGCCTTTCAAGGATTATCAAATCTGGTCTTCATCTCACAAGTATTACAGCAATCTGCCACAATTCCAAGACAAAAGAAACTCACTAAAGYCATGGTAGGAATGGGACCAGCAGCCATGTGAAAGACAAGAGCTGTGTTTGGTCTAGCGGGTGGTTTTATTGCCTCGAATCTAAGGGCATTACTGGTTTTTACTCTCCTGTTTTGGAGGAGTTAATGCAGAAGCACATTCCAGGTGCAACTGTTCATGGACAGAAAAGACTCAGGATGTCTGACGTGTCTTTGGGTGTTCCCTGCAAGGGGAACATGACTCCGTGGGTGCAGGTTCATGGGTCTCAAAAGCATCCCCAGCGAGCAAACCATCGGGCAGTGCTGCRSCATTTWYRTGCATTYAYAGCTCTTGGTTAGCTTTGAAAATCATGCAGYGGAGAAATCATGCCAGGAGACCTCTGAAGAGATGAGGGAATGTGGCACAGCAGACACTACAGCAGCTCTGTCCTCTGGACATGAGAAATGCGTTACAAGCCCATAAAATAAAAGAGAAGAGCACAACAGGGAGACCTAGCAGAGAGCTAGCAAGGGCTGAGRCACCCGTTAAGCATCCAAAACACCTCAGATGTGGCCAGTATCAAAATGAACCTTTGAAAATACACCAGCTCCAGCCTTGTCTGTCTCCATCRCTATTTTAGTGTCCCACTATGGCTGGGGATAGGCAATGCCTTGCAGAACTCAAATAACCACRTCAGTAAATAGCCAGGAGAAGTTACCTGTTCACTTGCTGTCCTTGGAGAGAGGGAGTCCTCCAGCCCAGCTCGGAGCGCGGTGCAGGCACAGAGAGCAGGGCTCCTCGCACATGACCGGGAAGGTGTCCCGTGATAACCAATTTCTGGTGGCTCTGTCAGCAGCAGCGCTGGCCGAGGCAACACCCGCACCCCTCCTGAACACATTTCCCCAGGGCAGAGCTTCCTCTGTCACCATCGGTGTGGCTTGTACCTCCTCCTGCTGACTGAAGAGCCTGCAGCAGTCCTGCAGTCTGCCGTGCATCCCTGCAGCAGTTCCTCCAGCCGTGGAATGGCTTTGGATTTTTCCTTTGCTTTACTTTCCATTGCCTGATGTCTCACTGGGCAATGCCTGCTGACCGTCCTTGCCCAACAGACTGCTTGGAAGGGACCCATTGCCCTGGAAGGTCCTGAGGTCTTCTCTCTGCCTTCCAGAGTGCCACTCCTGCTGGGACTGGAGCAGGAGTGGCTTCTGCTGTCACACTGCCTGAGCCCTGGGACACCAGCCTGGGACACAACAGCCCTAACAGGCCCCATTCCTGCAGCTGTTGGAGAGGTGAGAGCTGTGGTTTGCAGGCACTTCTGTGATTATTATACTGTTTCGCTCTGAATCATTGTAGTTCTCTCATCTTCCATATTTCTCAGCCACCAGTTCTGAGAAAACGTGACACTGTGACCCTGTGACCTGCTGGCTTGGTGACTGCTCTGTACCTGCAGGCACCTGCCTCCCAGGGGCTGCTCTCTAGCTCCCCATGGCCGCCTATTGACCAGAAAAGCTCAGACATGTTGATCAATAAGCTTAAAGGTCCTGATATTAGTGCCTTGGATCGCTGTCTTTGGCAAATGTATTTCCCCTTTCCCCTTTCCAGGTCATCTTAGAGCAACTTCAGGAGTATTTCTGTATTGTCTGCCTGCACATCACAAGCCAGCCCTTGATGGACAGAAATTACCCAGGGTGTCTGACATGTCTTTGGGTTTTCCCTGCAGGAGGAACATGGCTCCATGAGTGCAGRTTCAWGGGTCTCAAAAGCATCCCCAGCRAGCAAACCATCAGGCAGTGCTGCAGCATTTATGTGYATTTAYAGCTCTTGGTTAGCTTTGAAAATCATGCAGCGGAGGAAATATGCGAGGAGATCTCTGAAGAGGTGATGGAATATGGCACAGCATATATTACATACTTCTGACTTTCCAGGGACTGCTTTTGCTTTTCTTGGGGCTGCCTTTTGGTGGATGCTTACAAGTAGTGACTGTCATATTGGTGTGCCCAACTCTTTGATCCCCAGCTAAAAACCTTTTTGTGTCACGGTCCTTGTTGGTATTTTAGTTTTCAAAGCTTCTGGGGGTTGTGATAGTTTCACCACTGTACAGAAAACTCTGCATCATCCTCAGTGTTGTTCCCACACTCCTGTTGTCCATGTCCAGGCAATCACCGGTGCTATAAACCATGAGTAGTCAAAATCAAGCCTGGAGGGRCTCAGCTCACAGCACCTCTCCAGTGCAATGCTTCCCATGCTTCCCATCCACAGTTTGGTGCTATGGTTGCCGGATGAGGCTCTCATCAGCCCAGTGAGGTCTCAAGAGAGGGACAAGCCATGTCACCAAGCACAAGGCAGCTGGCTGGGAGCAGCAGGTTCACCAGGATATGTCAAAGCAAACTCAACACTWGCTAGCAGTAGGTGAAGCTAGGATAAAGTGCTGTCTGTGGAGAACTTACATGTCTCCTGCTGAGGCTGCTGGGTCTTTGCCTGATTCCTGGCCACCACTGCATCAGGATCCCCATCCTTCTCTTCTCCCCACCTCGTCTCCCCATCAGCCACCCTTGGCTGCAGCTGCTCACAGTCCCCTCCTTCCATGCAGTCACAGGTTTTATCAGCCCTGCCATGGACCAATGACGCTCCCTSGGTATTTCCCCTGTCTCTGCAATTCTCAGCCTGTCTCACTGCTGCCAATGCTGTCACCTTGTGGTGCAGCGCAGGTGATGCTTGTGCTGTGTTCACTTCCCTGCTGGCAGCTCTCAGGCAGGGTATCCAGGGCCCAGCAGCCCTGCCAGCCACTGGTGCCTGGACAGATTGCAGTGCTGCCTGCAGAGAGCTCAAAAAACCTTTTACTGACACCAGTGTCCACCACGTTGTGCCTGGAGAAGTGATTTTCTTTAGGAAAGTAACCAGTGGGGCAAAATATTACTAGTGAGGTAAAGAACCACGGCACAGATTGCTGACAGACAGCTTGATAGGCTCCTGCCTCCTTTCCCTGACAGGGAAAATCTCCATTTCCCCCGCATCCCAGAGCCTCTGGYGAGGTGGGAGAGGTTCTGGTACTAATTTCACACATGGGAGAGGGACATGGGACACTGATGTATCCTGCTCACCCAGGCTCTGCAGTGCCTCTGCCCCACGTTTGTTTCCTGGCTCTCTCACGGCAAGATGGGATGGTGCAAGAGCAGATCTTGATCAAAGGAGAACTGAAGGGTTGAGAGCAGAACACGCTGGTGTTATTTTTAGCACGGACAGCCTGTGAAACGGCAGTGTGAGGCGAAGTGCAGCAATCCCACAGTGACCAGCCCAGGCYGTTGGGGCTGTTTCCCCTTTCCCCTTCCTCAGCCCTGCATGAATCTCCCCTGGCAGGAAAGGCACTGTCAGGGCTSTCTGTGTTACAGCCCACCCTTCACCCCGCAGCACCAGGGACCAGCTGTGTGTGCACACACACCGGGCATGGTGTGGAAAAGCCCTGCTTCCCCACTGCCTGGGGCTGCTGCAGTGCTTGTGGAGTGCCCTGGAGGCTGTGGGCAGTGCTGGCCACTGGAACAGCTGTGCTGCACCAGAAAACAAAATCAGAGACACCTCCAATACCTGAAAGTCCGCGGCCCCCTAGTATGTGTCATTGAGCCCCCTGGAGCTCAAACCTTTGAAAGAACTCAGGTATCAAAACTGCCTGAATTCCACCAAACAGTAAAATACTGTTTTATGTCATCCCCTGCCTTCCATGCACAGGAAGGCTAAAAATGCTACATCCGATGGCTACTCACTCACATAAAAGCAGGATTCTGAGTTACTTTGTAGGTTTTCCTTGTGGCTTTTTTTTGTGGGTTTATTTTTTTTTTTCTCTCAAGCCCAAATTAGAAACCATTATTAGCATTTTTTCCTTTTAAGGGACAAAAAGTTATCAGAAATGTTAGCAAAATGCAGTGGTTAAGCTTTGTATTAAATTTTGCAGAAATGTTAGCAAAATGCAGTGGTTAAGCTTTGTTGTTTGGGGCAGCTGATGGACTTTGGCAGATGTGGCTGGTCCCCACTATAATTTCCTAGACTCTTGTGCTAGGAAATGGAAAAGATTTGGGGATAAGCGTGTCGCCATCCTCACAGATTGCTATTGCAGTGCTGGATAGTGGCCAGCAGTTTGTTGTGGCCCAGGGTCTGATAAATCACAATCTTCCATTTACTGGGAGCACTCAGGGAGATCAGGCTTTGTTCAGACTGAAGGAGGACATCAGAAAYCAATCCTAAACTTGACATATAAGCCTGATAATGATTTTTGTCCAAGGTAGAACATACATCTTCAGATAATCAGAAAATTCCTTGCTTGTCTTRGGGTTACACTGTTAAATATCCAGCTGTAAGACACATCTTATATCTTGGTACCAAATTATTTTGTCCCAGTCTCCAGTACAGATTTAGCATTAAGAACAGAGGACTCTGATGTATAGTGGTAATAAATGAAYATTTATTTATAGATATATTACTATKACATACCTTTATTTTCATTTGCCAAAGTATGTTTTGGTTTTTGTTTTCATAGCATTCAGTGCAAACAGCAAAAAATTTTACTTAATGACAACATGGATTATGAAGTCAACTAATTTCCCCTTTACAATAAGAAAAAGGAACACTTATATTACMCTATGAGACCTATTTGTGAGGCCACATTATAAAAGCATTGCAGTTCTGTATTTCGGAGTGGATGACCTGTTTGGACCCCATTGGAAATTGAACAAGTTCTCCATGTTAACTGGGAGAAAACATAAGCATGGCTGGGTTTGCAAGAAAAAAAAAAAAAGAAAGTTTTTACTTTCTAGACTGACAGCAGGATAATAGGTTGATATGAATGTTCTTTTTTTTTTCCAAAATAATAAAAAAATTCATAATAATATTTTTGGAACAGGCATTCATCATAAGCAATGAGATGCAAAGTTCCAGAAGAGAATCCTAGAGCCAAAAATGTTTTTKAAGGCCCTTTGTTCTGTTTCTGAAGTATTTTTCCTTGCTGAACTCTACTTGCGTGGAGAGTAAATGATGTCTGTCAGGAAGCCTCTTGCTCTCTGAGGGCAGTTAATTGCAGAATACTTGTGGATGGCTACAAGGGTGACAGCACTCACACATCTCCTTAAGGAATRGATGGTTTTCAAGATCAGGCACTCCTTGTTTCCAGTATTTTTTCCTGTCTTTGAAAAGAGAATTTAGAAGACAGAACGAGGGCTATACAGTGTGCAATGGTTAAATTGGTCACATACACACACAGGCCTGCAGWGAAATACCAGTAATATCAGAGCATTAAATAATACACCAGAGAAGAAAAYTGGGACATAAATTATCAGCTGGATGACCTGAGTTGTTTCACCCGTTTTCACAGCACAGTTCTCACTGCAGCTTCCACCCTGTTATCTGCCAAAGTATTGACACAAAGCAGGTGGAGCTAATGTTTGGATATGGGATACTTTCCGTGCTGGGGTAGTCCTTTGCATGTTCATTTGACCAAGGTCTAGTCAGTGGTTTCAGACTGTGGTCTGGATGAGTGTCACTGCAAGGTAACAGACTTGTACGGGAACTCTGTGTCACTAAGGAACTTGATTGCCTCTAAGTTTAAATGAGCAGAATATGAGCTTGCAATCCTGGAAGGACATTTTTCAGAGGTTTACAAGTCAGAAGACACTGAAAATGAAGGACTATGAAGCCAACCAAGACACAGCTGTCACCAGGAGGCGCTTGGAGCTGCAATGCAATGACACAAGAAAGGAGTCAGAGCTGAAGTCAAGTCATTGAGGACACAGGACAAAATTCAAGTCACCATCAGACCCTTTGGAGGGGGTTGCTCTTTTTTGTACGTATGCCTATGTAAGATTGCCAGTACTTTAGGTGGTTCCATTCCCTGTGCCTGAAAACTTCAGCAGCATCGTGACACTTGACACCTGCCATGCACTACACATGGTTTATGCCATCACTTGATCCGTGGGTGGCTGCGACTCTTCGCTTTGGTTCGTCTTGGACCTTATAAATATACACTTGGGGAACAYAGAAGAAAATTCTGGAAATTCCTTGGCTGCAAAGTAATAGCAAAATGCATCCAAACAGCAGTTACAATTTGCTAAGCATGCAGAGATCTTAAGAAAGGTTGTAACTCCTGAGAGCAGAGAAGAAGCTCCAGCAAGTTCCACTGCAAACCGCAAGAGCAGTGAGATTTGGAAAGGTGAGAAACAGACAGTGAACACACACAAATTCACAGAAACAATGTGCACAGCCTTCTGAAATAATTTTGTCTCATGAGGGGTTGTGACCATTTTCTGTTTTAGACATCTGATGACTTTTACTGAGCAAAAAATCACAATCCCTAAGGGAATAAAATACCCACAGATACTGAAGAGTAATGAGAAATACCTAGGTTGAATAGATTGTTTCCGAAAGCAGCAATTGTCCCAGTGATTGTAAAGTCTTGGATACAAGTTGGAATAAATTATAAGTGCTATCCAAAGAAAGCCACAGATAAAAGCTGATTTCAGTGGGGATCGAAGAGTCTTTGCTTTTAGAGGGAACTTGATTGCAATGTATCGATCAATCGCAATCAGGGTGATGATAAGGATGCTCATAGGCATGTTTGTGAAATAGATGTTTTGTATGGCAAAACACAGCTGGTCTATGGGATGGTTGTACTTGGTGAAATACAGCAGGAAAGGCAGGGTAAAGAGCAGGAAACTGTCTGCGACGATGAGGTTGATCATGTACACCTTGGTCTCGGTCCACCTCTTGATTTTGCAGCAGAAGACCCAGAAAGCAATGGTGTTCAGCGGGATCCCGAAAGCCAGCACGGGGATGTAGACAACCAGCTGCAGTAGCACAATGCTGTGCTGTGTGTCACTGTCGGTGCAGTTCATGGTGGGCTGTCTCTGCAAGGAAAGAGTGCAGCCATGAGACTGAGCCCACTGACAGGGCTGGGTCCTACAGCTGTGCCCCCTCTCATGGCCCTGCAGCTCCTCGTGTCCCTGCACTGCTTGGGATTGCCTGCTTGTGCAGGCAGCCTCTGGAGGGGTTCAGTGGCTCATCAGCACTGCCAGTCCCTCAGCCATCACAGTTACACTGTCACTCGCTGCCAGAGTCAAACCCAGAGCCAGCCCTCTCTTGCTGCTGTTGCAGGGTTAAGCCTGCCACACCCTCCCTCCAGTCCTGGTATGAGCAGTTTGGGTCATTGCAAAGCAGAATGATAATTGTTGTTGTCCCTTACCTTTTCCTCTGCAATGGCTGTCAGAGCCACTGKCTTTAGGGCAGCCCAGAGCAGAGCTGGGCAGCATTCCCTGTTTGCCCTCCACGGCCCTTGCTTTGATGCTGAAGCCACCCCATGGGCTTGCTCTGGCTCTTGCCAGGCCTGAGAACATCCTCAGGGCTTGTGCCCTTCCAGCCATGGCTTTGCTCAGGTGGCWTTGCTCCCAGGGCAGTGGGAATGCTGGTGGGTGCTGCGGGCAGGCTGTCCCAAGCACAAACCCACTCCTGTGCTGAGGAGGAACAGCTCAGCAGGGGCACCACCAGCTCTAGCGGGTAAGAAGCCTCCAGAGAAAGAAAGGAAAGTGAGCACATGTGTCTGAGCTCAGCCCTCAAAGGTAGGAAGCCGAAATTTTGATAAGGCAGAAAACACAGATTTGAGAACTTAGACTATCTCCTGCTCTTCCTCTAAATATCTCAGAGCATCTGCTACCAGCAAGGATGATGAATCAGACTTTGTCTGCAGCTCATAAAGGAAATGTTTACAATGAGGCAGGCATGAAAAATGCCCAGATTCCTACAATCTCGCACAAATACATTGCCTTATWAGTCAGCAGCTTCTAAACTTCAACAGGGAAATTGTAGTGAAAATATACAATTGCATGAAGTCAGTGGACCATTTTTAGTGTCCAAGATTTTAGTGTCCAAGATTACAGATCTGGCAACCCCGAAGGAAAGCACCCCACCTGCCCTAGCACCAGAACTGGTATGGAAATACGGAAACACAGGTGTGCAGTCATTTCTAGAGTGGAATTTATGGAGGAGCCAGTGTCCTAGAGCTCTTGGGCTTTCAGCTTCATGGATTGTAGCTACTCTGTGGCTTCAACCTACCCTGCAGCTGATCTCTGGCAGCCTGTTGTGGTCACCTTGCAGTGAAAAAGTCACCCTCTGCCTGCACACCACTGGCCTGAGGAACAGCCGACCCCGCTGGGCTGGACATCCCAGCCCCAGTGAATCCCCCATGGAAGCACTGAGCTGGTGGCAGCTCCCAAGGCCAGCTGTCCCCACACTTGAGGGAGCAGCAGGGTACGAAGCACTAATGGGAAGCTGCAGCAAGAGACAAAGACCCCCCCAAATGACCCAGGCAGTTTCACAACAGTGAGGCAGAASAGCTGTGAAAGCAGGAGGCAACCGGGGCACCTGGGGCTGCCTGACCCGTGTGTTGGCAGGCAGGAGCCTTGGCAGGAGCCGGGAAAACACACTCCGAAGGGCAGGGGGCACTGCCACGCACCGGTGTGGGACAATTAAAAGCCATTACCTGCTCCTCGCGATGCGACAGGTGCGCTGAGTCCTCGGGAAGGCTGCAGGGCACCCGCAGTGTCTTGGCAGGGCAGGAGATCCTCGATGGCCGCAGGTGCCAGCGCAGGGCACGGCTGTCCCGGGCTGTCACCGCCCGGCAGGGCTCAAACCCAGCACTGAACTCATGAGCTCCAGAAGTGCTACATTTATCCCCTACTTYCCCGGCTGATGGAGCCTCTGGTGCCCTCTGTTGTCCCGCTCTCAGCAGCTCAACGCTTCACTGTCAGTTTTTCCACCCAGAGTGCGCTCCCCCACCTCCTCGTCTCACACAAACCGRCAATTAAAATTTAATATTTTCAGTCATGGGAAAACAATTTCTGAAATAAAACCCATAATGGTTGTAAAGTGCTCTTCTGGCAGCAGAAGTGTCCCCAGGGAGCCCGGCAGGCTGTGCAACCTCTGGTGTGGTCGCAGAGGGTGCCCCAGGTGGGGACAGCGACCTTTCCGAGGGGGCAGTCGGTGCTTGTGCACCCCGTGCCAGCCAGCCAGCGACCCAGCGCGCTGCTTTCGGGATCTTTAGAGTAGGGGCACAGATGTTCTGGGCTGGCTCACCCTCCGCACAGCAGCCAGGAGTGTAACACTGCTCCTCAGCATCGCTGGGAATGACAATCCCTGCCCTCCAGGCACGGGCAAGACACACCAGTGTGGCAGTGAGCTGCTGGGACCCTTAGGACCATGGTCAGGAGCGTGCCCCGGTGGTGTTTCACAGACATTGGGATGGCTTTTGCTGTCCACTGCCTAAAGCACTTGTAATCCCATCTCTGTGAGCCAGACTGACTCCCACAGGCTTTGTCCATTAATTCTTGTGTTTGGAGCTCATGGTCTCGAAGGTGACAGCAGCAGACTGAGCATCAGCCATGGAGTCAGGAAGGGCAGATATAGGTCACGAATGGGTTTGTGGGCAGGAAAGACTCCCCCACACTGTCTGGTGGAATGCTCTGAGCATTGCTGGGGGAGTGCTCAGGGCCATTTGGAGATTTTTCAGTGTTCAGAAAGAAAAATAGCCCACTTCTAGGGAGCATTTATCCGCTTCCTCTCTCCCCTGACTTTTCTAGGTGGCTGACACATGCAAAAATACATTTCTCTGATGGAAATGTTTGGGGTGTCAATGTGGGCAGGCTGTGGAAACTCAGCCCCAGCTGGGTTCAGCTGCGGGGGTGACACTGAGCCTGAGCTGTGGTGAGCCTGGGACCAGCTGGTGCCACAACACAAAACCAGGGAAGAGCAGTGCAAGGGTGCCAGATGTCAGGGCAGCAGTGAAAGGGCATCCCCACGGGTGGGAGGAACAGCCCCTCAGGGATGGCTGCTCTGAAGAGGTGTCTCTGTGCCAGGGCCCAGTGGTGCAGCCAGGGGGGAAGCTGGCAGGAGCACTCAGCTCTGAAATCTTTGGATTTGGATAAAGAATTTTGTGCCTTTATGGCACTAGACAGGTGTTGYTTTCATCCTAAAAGTGTTCCTTCACCTATCTGACCTGCTGAGTTGAAGGGGAGGGAGGTCAGGACACTCTAGGCTGTTTGTAGGGTGATGTCCTCCGTAATGTGCCAGAAGCACCTGAACACCCACCCCACCCAGCCTGCCAAAGGAATAGGATAAATATAACCTGGATTATTTTAATAATGCAAACGACCTGGAATACACARTGAGGTAAAATATGACATTTGCATTTGTGCTTGTTGGCAATAAGGATCAGTTGATTTTAGCTGCAGAATGAACTAAAACAAGAGGTACATGGCTCACCTGTCTTTCTGAAAGAGTAACAAGTAGGTGCTGGAGGGTAGAATGGAGGCATGTTAACAACTAGGGATTAGCTACACACTTTTATGCATCTCTATGACTTATTTGTTTAACAAAAACACAAATTGTAATTGATTTARTAATGCTAAACCTAACAAAGAGATCACTAGAGAAAAAGAGCAATAATTATCCAAACAGCAGTGAAGCTGCATTTCCTCTTTATGTTGCAGATGTTGGTGGGGGTGTTGGCTTAGGTGTTTTTTTTTCCCTTTATCCTTTAGCAAGTTTCCATCTGCAAGGGCTGGGTTGCATCTGTTTTTTGAGTGTTGGGTTTGGGCAGTAGAAAGGCTTCATGGAACTCCTTGGTGACAAAGTAGTAGCAGAYGCTGTCGAGGCAGCAGTTGGACGTGGCGATGCACCTCGTCACGGAGGAGAAGTTCTCCATGACACAGAGCAGGTAACAGGCAACTCCAACACTCTCCATTACAAACCTGGCAAGTAGCCCAAGGTAGGCTGGCAGAAAACATACGAGAAATACAATCAGATTTGCATAAATAATGTGCATGGCTTTCTGGATCGATTTCTCCTCTGGTGAATTTGTGTTCAGATGTTTCTTGAGGTTCCTGATGACTTCTGCAGAGCAAAAGGTCAGKATTGCTAATGGGAGAGTGAAAAAAAAGAAAATGGCCATCAGGCTGAGAGCAGCATACTCAGGGGGGTYGGTCTGGAAGCAGAGAGCTGCGTGTCTCTCCCGGAGCTGGAYGGTGGCAATGGTTATCACCAACACCCACAGAAGGCCACACAGGAGGGCRGCCTTTGCTGGGGATCTGAAGCTCCTGGCTTTCAAGGGGTGCTTTATGGCAATGTATCGATCGACAGAGATAAATGAAATGATGTAGATGCTCACTAACATGTTGATARAATACATCGCCTCTGTGAACTGGCAGAGCTCCCCTCGGGCTGACTTGTTCCAGAGCAAATAAACCATGGAAGGCAAGGTGCAGATGACAGAGAAATCTGCAAACACTAGATTGATTACATACACCCTGATTTCTGTCCACTTCTTCATCTTGCACAAGAACACCCAGAAGGCAAGGATATTGAACAGTGCTCCGAAAAAGAAAATAAGGCTATAGAAAACAAATTCAATGAGGCGAACGTGGTGATGAGGTTCTAGATTTGCGGTGCTGCAGTTGCTGGACACATTCATTATTCTGAGTTACAGATCTTGTATGATGTTCTGAGACCTGAAATGGGAAAAGACATGGTAAGACCTCTTAGTAGCTGTAAAAAAAAGCCCATTTGACACACATGTACTTTGTTAAAAATGTGAATCRGAGCTTTACAGAGCTGGCTTTCCCAGTTAATCTGAATCCTTTGGCAACCTTTATCAATCTTTGTTTAAGTTCACTCAGTTTGTGAGCAAGTACCTCAAGGTACACTTCCAATAGGAYGTAGCAGACAGCCTTTATTAAATAGGGAGATCTTGAAGTATGTGGGGGCAGGGGGAAAAATGACACTTAGAAGAGCCCCCAGAGGTAGTGGGGACATCCTGTGACAATGTGAACACTAATTCCTTAAGCCAGGATGTGCAGATAAAGTAAACTTAGCCTTAGCTTTGTGCTTAGCTAGGCAGCAATGGCAGCAACCAAAAGTGAAGCCCAGCACAACCCATCAGCAAAAGATCTTCTCTCAGTTCTCCTGGCTTTGGGTTAAGGTCAGGGTGAAAGGCTGGGAGTGCATAGCRGATGTCATTTGATAGACATCCTCCTGCTCTGGCTCTAAATGGGCAGGCCTCTGAGCCTTTGGACCTGGAGCTCCTTCTCCAAGCTGAGGAAAAGAGCAGAATCTGCATTCCTGCTTTCCCAAAGGAATGTTCGAAACCCTGAGGGAGAGGATGAGGGATGCTGCTCTCCACCTCGCCAGGAAGGGAATGGGGGATGAAGGATTACCATGATTTTAAGCCCATTTGTTCCAGGAGAGAGTTTGACTCTGCCTGTGCAAAGCAGAAAGCCCCGTGTGAAAGAGGAAACAGCCCTGCAGAACAAGGAACTCACCTTTAAGGGCTGTATTAGACAGCTCCTGCTCCAGGCAGGCATCCAGTCACCCTCAGAAATCCAAGTTATAAGTGGTAGCTATTGAGCCCCTTCACACTGGCTGCAAGATRTTTTGCAAAACTATTGGTTGTGGGAAGAGTGTGAATTCATGGGCTGATATAAATCACCTTTCATCACCTTTCAGCATCAGACCCCATCCTGTGCAAAGTGGCTTCAGGTGACATGCACATGGAACAATTCTCTGAASTGCTGACTCTGAGTATCTGTCACTGGATTTGTGCTTGTTTCTAAATGCACTTCAGAAAAAGAAATCTTTCCATGTAAAATAAGGTTTTTAACCACTGTAACAGGAGAGTGAAGTGGGGAGGGATCTGGTGAAATCCTGTAGCTTTCAGAGATGTGGGGACGGCCACCGTGTCTCCTGGTTGAGCAGTTATTCGCTTCTACAAGCAATGCAGACCTTGTGGCCAGTTGGTGAGGGCACTGCCTGCAAATTCGAATTCAGTTCTGAAGTGACTGAAAAGTACACAAATAACTCCGTTTCTGGGGGGAGATGGCAGTGTCCTGGGCAATAGCAGACACTGATGTGACTGCTGCACAGATCTCTCTCCCTGTTCTTGCATGCTTAGGTCTGGGTTTATCCAACCAAGGCTTGCTGCTCACTGCCCACACCCTGGGAGGAAAGGGWCAGCTGTCCCTGAGGAAAGCCTCTCTGAAGCACGGTAAATGGCAGCAGGGACCTGTCCCTGGTTATGGTCACTAACTGCATGAGGCAGAAGGCTGACACCCAGCTGGTGCCCAGGTTCCTTTCCACTGCCCTGGATTTCAGTGGCAGAAGCTGCTCTGGAGAGGCACAGCCCGGGCAAACCCCAGTGCTGGGCTCTGCAGTGTGAAGAGCTCTGGCCAACGCTACCCATGGAGCTGGAGACCTGGCCCAAATGCAGTTCCCAGCAACAATACTCACAAGAGCTCCAGGCCACRAGGCAACCCAGAGGCTGGGAGGAGGATGGAGGAAATGAGCAGAGGGTTTCAAGCAGGCCACAAAGCACTGATAGGGTATGACTGAGCAAAGAAAAGTCTTTAAGGAGATGCAGCTTGACAAGCTAGCACATCCTGTGGCTGCTGGGAAGGTTTAACATGGGCTACATGAAATGCCTGCACCATCAGAGGGGCTAGGCAGCAACCTACAGCTGGGACAAAAGGATGGAGACGGCTCTGAAACAGCATCTTGTGGCTGCTGGAAGACCAGGAATAAGTCCTGCATGTAAAATCCTCCTCCTTCCTTCTTGGGGGAGCTCAGGAGTGAGCAGGCACCAGGGGCTGATGGGTCAATATGGTGGGGGAAATCAAGGGTGAATATGGTGGGGAAATGCCTAAGGACAGCACGGGGGCCATGGTGAATGAGGGAAGGGATCTGGAACTCTGAGCAGAGGGAGGGCAAGAAGGAAAATGGGAATKAAGCCTGGGGTGAAGCACAGCATCTTCTGCATCAACTGCCCCCAGATGTGCCTCCTCCATGGCAACTGCCCTGATTGTCACCAACGCTCCTACACACAGAATGGGCGGCTCTCATTAAAGAAATATGCATCCATGTTGGGATAAATTAACTTTCACTTCTCAGCTGCTGTGGTATTCCAGGTAAAGTATCCAGAGAATACCTTGGAGTGAGAACAGAAACTGAAAGGCTCAGAGCCCACCATGGACCCCTGCATCGCAGGGRCCTCACTGCCCTGCAGAAATTACTCTGTAAGCCTCCTCTGCATCCCCCCAGGCACAGCAGGACCCTRAGCAGCAGTTCACAGAGAGCAACAGAGGAGCAAATCAAGTGATGTTACCTGCAGAATTCATGTGACAAGGTCAGCAGCAGGTGCCACCCRAGGCAGGGTCTGTGCAGCCACACAGCCCGGGCAGGACGAGTGAGTGGAGGATGGACACGGGCTGCCTGTGCAGGGCAGGTGCCTGGCACCAACAGCTCCCTGGTACTTCACGGTTTCCATAGCACCTCCTCCTCCTGCGTAACAGCAGATTGCACATCAGTTAGGCTGGGAACCAACATTTCTGATTTCATATCAGTGAGGCTGGGAACCAAAATTTCTGATTTCATATCAGTTAGGTTGTGAATCAACATTTCTGATTTCATATCAGTTAGGCTGGGAATCAAAATTTCTGATCTCATATCAGTTAGGTTGTGAACCAACATTTCTGATTTCATAGGAGTTAGGTTGTGAATGGCCAAATCAATGGTGGCAATACTTTACAGAGAGCTCTAGCACCTCACCACTCTGCATTTTCCARAAGGGTGTGTTCTATGGCTAAGAGCGATGCTCAGCAACTGGGGATGGGAAATGCTGGGCTGAAATCTAAGCTAAGGAAAGCCAGGAAGATGCAATATCTGGTATGGATTACCCCATGCAGCTGGAGTACACCTGAGTGTTGTCGTGCTTGCACAGCTTTGGGTATGGAGGTGGGCACACGGAGCAGCCTGGCATGCAGTGTAGGCTCTCTCTGGGCTGCTGAAAGCCTCCCCAACCCTCCTCAAATGCTGCCCTCAGAKGGTGTCTGGGGTTGGGTTTGGTGCCGGGCATGGATTGAGCAGGATGGGGGCCAGCATCAGGGCTCTGGCCTGCACTCCTGTTGGAGCACAGGTACAGCCAAAGCATCCCAGAGCTTCAGCTGGCAACTGAACCAAGGCCTTGGCATCTCACACGGGTGGCAAAGAGCTTCATTGTCAAACTGTGCACTGGCAGAAGCAGACGGGACAGCCAGAGCTGTGAGCTCCCAAGGGCTCAGAATGGACTCTCTCACTGTGCCAATAACCAGTGTGCTCTGTGGCTGTGGGGATGCCTGGCTGCACACTCACCCTTKGTACCCGGCCAGCTGCTCACTGCTCTGCTGCAGTGATGCACATGGTGCTTGGCTGCTCTTCCATTGCCATGATGGGTGCTCTCCTGGCTGTGTGAGCTCTGACAGGAGCTGGCTGGGCTCTCAGGCACTGCTGGGGTGAGTGAGGGATGGCAGGATGCCGGCATGGCCCRTGTGTCCCTGGCTCAGGAGCTGGCACCAAGCAAAGGAAGTGCTGCAGCACAGCTGTCAAATGAGGCTGTGCAGGGGAGAGGGCCAGGAACAGGATCCTGAAGATAAGACCCACTTGCTGTGCTCCACCACAGGGCTGGTGCAGCGTGCAGCCATCCTACAACCACAGAGATGTGCGTGCTGATCACAGCCCTCAGGAGGCACCCAAACTCCTGGGTGTGCCCCTCACAGGGGGGCAATCTATGCAAAGCAGGACCCACGTCAAATATCTCAGAACCACATGCTGATAAGACCCTCAGATAGCATCTGGCATTTGTAAGGTGCTGTGGAGGAAGAGGCGACACAAAATGCTGCAGTGGCTCTTTGGGTCACAGTGTGGGACAGGAGAGTCACTGAAGGTGTTTGAGGTCAGGGAAGGCCTGTGTGGAGAGAGCCACCAAGCAAAGGTGGCCAGAGCTGTTTGCCTGCAATAGCTGCAGCTGCATTTGCCACAGAGGCTGATGCTGGCAGCTATTTTTTAGTGAGAGCCCACAGTGATGGCCTTGTTCACAGTCATTGAGGCTGAAGAAACCTCTTTAGGTGTCCACCAATGCTTTGCTCAGAGCCACTGTCTGAGGTCATGTCCAGTTTGGTATTGAGTAGCTCCAAGGATATCTCCACACATTSTCTGGGCAACCTGTTCTAGTGCTTGATCATTCTGAGAATAAATTTTTTTTTTTATGTTTACACAGACTTCCCTGTATTTCAGTTTGTACCTCTTGCCTCTTGCCTTCTCAACAGTGTCAGGAAGAGGGCAGGAGGCAAAATGAACAAACTGAAATATAGGAAAGTCTGTTTAAACATTAAAAAAAGTTTACTCCCAGTCATTGTGTGTTTATCCACATGGATCAGATCCTTGAGAGGCTTCTCCAGGCTGAATAGTCCCAGCTCTTACAGCCTCTCCTCATATGAAAGGGGCCAGGGGACACCAAGACATGGCAATAGAGGACCCTGGGATGGTGGCAGCCAAGCAGCACTGGGGAAGGTCATTCTGTGCCAGTGGCTCCTGCCTGCAGCAGTGTCCAGCCTGGACAGRAGGATTTGTTCCTCTATGGAAGACATGAGAAGGCTCCTCATGTTGGGTCTTCCTGAGCACCCGGCATTTTCCATCTG